CTTACACCCTCAGAAAAGAGAAAAATACTGTTTCCTGAATATAAACCTGTGTTCTGTTGTTATCATTCTGAGTCTCCTTTCAGGCTGCCTGCAGATTAAAAAAAATGTCTTCACATCCTGGATGCATGGCCTTTTCCTCATTAGTCATCTTGTTTCTGTGAATTTATGAGAAAACACACACCATTGCGTATCTTTTGACACGCCAAACAGATTTGCAATAAAACAAGGACACAACTGAGATTGATGACTGAGCTGCTTCCTGAATTCATGTCTCTAGTAGAGCATGTAAAAGCTTTTCAACCGAGGCTCTGCAGCTTTTTACTGTTGTCCAGCATAGTGTTTCTAATCACACAAGCAGTGATATTCATCAAAACATTCCCTCGCATGAACTGGAGGATTGTATTTAGGTAACATAGTGCATGGTTTGTTTAATGAGTTCTGAATACTTGCTATGTTTTAACAGCTTGGCAATATTTCACACATCTTTTGAAATTAATTGTTTATTTAATTATACTTATTACGCTCTGTGTACCCTCAGAGAACCCATTTTTGTTAGTGACACCTTTGGAAATGAAGCAAACTTAAGCTAACGTTAGCTCTCTGTTGAAGCTCAGAGCCGACTACAGACACTCAGATTTCAATTCTTATTCATAAAGATGACAAGTAGGGATGGGTACCGGTGTCCGGTGCCATGATGGCACCGGTTCTGACATAAACGGTAGTAACCAGACCGAAAAGCAGCGCACATTTCGGTGCTTTTTTTTCCTGAGCTGTGATACACTTCTAGACAATCATTTTACGTTTCCCAGGATAGTAGGCGGGGCCAGGTACGTACGTTCAGTTAGAGCAGAGCTACAGATTAAAAATGTCCAAGGCGAAGCGGTCAAAAGTCTGGTTGTACTTCACAGCAAAATATGCAAACTCAGCAGCAACAAGTGCTTTAAGCTGATACTGTGATACTGTCAAAGGAGGTAACACCTCAAATCCGATGAAACACCTGGCGACGCATAGCGTTTTTTTAAAAGCCGAGAAATGCGCTGTATTTGATAGCTTGCTGCGAGACCTCACACTGTGCACGTTGGGTGGGTTGCCAGTTATCGGACCCGGAGCAACATCCCCCAAAAACCCGAAGAATAGAGTCCTGGCCCCTAGCCCTGCCAATGTAGCAGAAATGATGAGGATGATGATGGCAGCAGCCGTTCTTCTCTGCGTGAGTCGCTTAATGTTGTTCGAGTGTAATTTACGTTGAGTAGGCTAACCACGTTATTACATTAATGCATGTAAGGTGAACTAGCAAACATCATCATAGCTACATGCGGCTGTCTTCTTGTTTGATGGCAGATACTCCCTTCACCCTGGACAAAAAGGCTAAAATGACCAAAGAAAAAGTGGGAAACAGCTGAACATGAGAGGTTTTTGGACAAAGTTTGTGTTTTTTTTCCATTGTTTAAGCACTGCTTCCAGCCAAGAGTGATACCATATATGCCCCATAGCTGCAGAAAAGGCTAACATTGTTATCTTTTTCCAAAAACAAAACAAACAGCTGAACATGAGAGGTTTTTGGACAAAGTTTGTGTTCTCCATTCTTTAAGCACCGGTTCGAGCACCGTTTAAGCACCGGCACCGTTTCAAAAGTACCGATTTGGCACCGGTATCGGATAAAACCTAAACGATACCCATCCCTAATGACAAGCCACAGGCTTTTAGTTGTTGTTTGTCTCATTTTTTCAAGTTAAATGATATGGAAACAAGCTGCCTTCACCTATGGGAGTACCACCCATGCCATGAAGCTCCCAGCACACAGATTTTGTGCTGATGTTAATGCCAGAAGAGGTCTGGAACTCTTTAACTTTATGTGATCTGTTACTGATTTTACACACCTGTGACACTGCATGTGAAAACACCTGAATTAAAAATTAAAGACTTTTGTCCAAATAGTTCATGTCTCCATTCGCTATTGTGAATAAAGTTGCATACTGTATGTTTAAACCAGCTAAAAGTGGAAAAAATGGCAAAACTATTTCATGTAGAATTTGTGAAATACACAAATGTGTGCATATCTGTGTGTGTGAAAAGTATAGGGCCCCTGTGATTTGTCTTCTCCGTCCCCTGGCTTGGTTACTAGTGAAAAAACAAAAAACGCCTTAAAACCAGTCTTAAATTCATAGTTTCACTGTTCCAGAAGCTTTGTGGAAAAGTAAAGCGACTTGTTTTAAGGAATAAACAAAGTGCCTGGTATTTATTGGGTCCTATTTTCAGACTGGTATTAATACACATCATGCGCTCTGCTGTGGAAATAAATCATCAGGCTGGTGTATGTGGTTTGTGACTCAGTAAACTAACAGATAGCGAGAAACGAATAAGCAAAAGAAACAAAGTTCACAGATCTTAGGATGAATAAATTGTTAGCTTTAGATTCTGATGACAAGAGCAGAGACAAAAGAACACCACCAGGAGCTAAAGCGTATTTGTACGCTCGTTTTATAATGGTGTAAAAATAACTGGAACTACTAAAGTGAAGCAAAGAAAGGGAAACAGGGCAAGAAACAAACAAACAAATAAATAATAAAATTGTCAAATTACAAACAAGCAAGCAAAGCATTACAATCACACAAGCATTAAACAAAGCACAGATTTAGTCATTTCTCAGGGTGAGCGCTCACTAATTTTAATTCAGTATGTTTTATGCCACTCACTTCCTTTCAGGCAAATTAAATTTGAATTCATTCAGAGGATACATTTTGCTGCCTAACTGCAAGGCTTTATGTCAAAGGATGCCCTATCGTGCATGTTCACTCTGACCCTAGCATGACGCCGAAGCGCCAGAGTAGCAGCGGTGCGCCCTGTCACCCGCCGTGCAGCGTGCCGTTTCAGATGCAACAAAGCAGCGTATCGGGTCAAAAAAGAAAAGCACTACTGGCAAAACACTTAGCTCTTTGCCTGCTGATTGATTGCTTTTCATTGTTGCCAGTTTGAATATGCTGTTCCTCTGATGGGCAGCTTGGCAGAACATGTAATCGTGTGTGTGTGTTTGGAGCCAATAGCCTGGCCAGGATTTGTGGGGAAGCCTGTTGAATCCCGATTTAGTGTCTGCTGTCTGATATTTTTGTCTGAGTGAGGGATTTGAAAAATGCCTTGAAAATAATTTTGTGAGCTAACACTCAGTACGGACTGGCAGGTGAAGATAATCGCAGTGAATTTCTCATCAAAGGTCATGCAAACCAACACGCTCGTGCATGTTTCAAACGTGCGAGGGCTCTGGGGCAAGATGAGAGGGTATAAACCGAAGACGTTTTGTCCTCGTAAATGTTTAATGTTAGAAGAACCACAGCAACAACAAATGATTAAGGCTGTTTATCCAACTGAATGACAGAGCGGCGGTAGCTTCTATTACAACAGAGAGATGTAATTTACTAAAATGGACTTCTAACTGACACCTTGTATTGGCTCTGTTTATTAGTGAGGAGACGAGTGTCTTGAGGGGGCTTTTCATGTGCCTGTTGGTCTTAAAAAACACAACCTAATTGGATTATTTCAGCACAAATCGGCAGATATGAAGAGAATCAGCGAAGCAACTATTCACAGTATAGAGAACAATCAAACGCGGGCATGTCAGCTCGGCTATTTGAAAGTAAATCTAAAATTCCAAATTACTCCACAGCTTGCCAAGCTTTCACCGGTTAAAACCCCAAAAGGATACAAGCTGCAAACAATTACAATCAATTCAATGCGAGCAGCATTTTTACTAAGCAGACCAGTGTATGAATCAGTGATATTTGTTAGGTAGCTGTCAGCTGGGAGAATGTAATCCAAGCAGCTGTTGCATTTAGCACTTCCAATAAGTGAATTGAAGAAGCTGCACAAGGACACATCTGCTGCAATTAGACAAATGGAATGAAGGGCTTGGCTTAAAACTTGATTTTTAACTGAGGAGTTTACCTCAATTATCTTTTGGTGTTTTAATAAAATTGTCCAAATACAAAAATAACCGAGGCTTATTATTATTATTATTATTATTATTATTATTATTATTATTGTTGTTGTTGTTGTTGTTGTAACCGCAGTGAGAAATTTCTCAAACTCAGATTTAGTTTCAATTTTGAATGGCCTCATAAAAATACAGTGAAGTTGACCTTTAACTTTTGAACATATATTTTAAAAAAAAGTTATTTTTTGTGAAATATTTCCACATTTTGTAGTTGAATTGCTTGCATCAGCCAAATTCTAAGAAATTCCCTCAAGGATAAGGTATCACATTCCCGAGTTATCTAGGCTGATGGCCAATAATGTGATTGTAATCAGTTCCTCTGGTCACAGCCTGCTCTGTGATGAAAAAGGACAGCTTTTCAAATGTCTGAATAGTGCATGTAATTCATGACACTATTCTCTCAGTTTGAACTAACCATATGAATGATCTTGTCGCTGCTTGAGCAAGATCAGTACATCTAAACGAACCCACCTGAATTCAGAAGGCAGCCTAAGCTTACCTACTGCACGGTCTGGCACGGTCTTCTCATCTGGCTTTCAGCAAGAAAGCAAAATCATTTGTATGCTACCTTCTCACACCGTATAAAATTCAGAGTATCGTTGCCTTGAGCTTGAGAGCAAACGTTGCTGAATAAATAGAGCTGCACAATAGTTTATTTTAACTGCCATGGAAATGAAGTCAAAAAATAACCCTCTCATCAAAGCGCATTCAGCTTTAGGCTCCTAACAGAGAGGCTGTCCCACTTCCCATGACCCAGCCGAGAGTGATCACACCTACACGAGGCACGAATCGCTTGGAAATTTTTCCATCCCCACAGCGTCAGGTTTAAGGTGTTGATTACCTAGCGAAAGCCGCTGTTAAACAGGTACATCTCAAAGAGCTCCGTCTGAAAGCGCTTCAGTCATCGTTACTTTGCACAGTGAGATAACTTCCAATTTTCAGTGTGAAACGGACACATGCTCGCTAGTCAACTGAAAGAAAAAGAAAAAGCAAGAGAACTTATTATTTTTACCTCCAGAATGAGGAGGAGGGCCGCAGAGCAGAACCACTCCTTGACCTTCACGCACTGAAACAGAGCTTCTTCTCTGAGTCTTGAAGTTTTCCAAGTCTGCAAAATAGAAAAAACAAAACAAGAAAACAGCAGTAAGTAAAATATTCCACAAGCTGGAGGCTGTTACATTTTATTAGCATACACATGAAGGTGCTGTCATGAACAAATTACTGTTTTTCTTACTTCTTTTCAAGGTCACATTGTGCGCAACCTAAAGCAGCAGGTGGGGAAAACGCTCACAACAGGTTGCCTGTTTATTACAGAGCTCGCAGACATAAACACAGCACACACTCACATAGCGCCAGAAAGTTCATGGCCTATATTTCTTCAGACTGTGGGAAGGAACTGATGCTTTATCCTGTCAAATACAGTACTTGTAAACTCTGAGGGCCAGAGTTCAAACTCACAGCGTGTCAGACGCTGTTGCAAAAAACCTGAAGCCCCGTGCCAAGCAAATGATATACAAAAACATGACGTACGGAACATTTTGAGTAAGTCAGAAAAAACCTTTAAAGACTGCCTGAACCTTCAGCAGCAACAAACTGAACATTTTTGGCAGTAAACAGCCTTTGGCTTTGCCTCAAGCCAAATCATCCCCCCCACGTGCGCCTGTGCTGCCGATATCCAAATTCACAGAGATGGTGCCACAAGTACGGGGGTTTTGGTGGAGGAAGACAGCAATGAGTGATTTAAAAGACGCACGGGTAGCGTAAATCAGTACAGGACAGATAAGTTGTACCTGACTATTATACATCAATCAAAGTCGTCATAGGAAGTGTAAATGCTTTGATATGACTAAAAGGACAAATGAATTAAATTTCTCATTTATTATTGTTAAAAACCTGACAAACTCCCTCCGTGATTAATTAGAAATAAGAATTAAAAAGTAGAATCTGGATGAAAAACTGTGATGAATTTTAGAAGAAAAACCCTTCGGGGACTGAGCATTAGCATTACTTTCCAACGCCTCCCCTTCAACTGGGTAAAAGCATTGTCTTGTGAGTACAGCGGACAAAGTTTGCAGCACTATGAACACGTTTTGGATGCAAACTCAAAAATCTTAGGACTGTTTTTTCAAGGCACCCAAAGCGCTTTACAATGCCACTATTCATTCACTCTCACATTCATACACTGGTGGAGGCAAGCTACGGTTGTAGCCACAGCTGCCCTGGGGCAGACTGACAGAAGCGAGGCTGCCATGTCGCGCCATCGGCCCCTCTGGCCATCACCAGTAGGCGGTAGGGTAAAGTGTCTTGCCCAAGGACACAACGACCAGGACAGAGAGCACGGGGATCGAACCGGCGACCTTCCGGTTACAGATACGCTTCCCAACCCCCTGAGCCATGGTCGCCCCATGAACATAAATATGTGTTTGCTTTAAAGAAGAGAAGAGATTGTGCCTTTGTTCAAAGGAAGGGAGCTACATTCAGTTATTTGGCTGCTTTTGTGAGTGTGTGTGTGGATGGGGGTGATGGTGGTTAAGGGGGGTGAGGGCCACCTTATGTCACTTCTTTTGACACACCCCTGTTAATCACACAAAGATAGGTCGATGGAAGGAAGCACTCACTCGTGTGTGTGTGTCTGTTGCTTAATTTCCTTTTGCTGGATTTATTTCTTTTGCATACTTGAGGGGACACACTTAAGATAAGGGGGAAATGAAAAGAATGAGGCCTGTTATTGCTCCCTGTAACCTGCACTGGTAATTGTATGTTGCGAATAATGAATGTAAGTTAAGCTTGAGCTGAATACATGATGAAAAAAAAAACTATAACTAAGCACTGAAATCAATAAAGACACACACCCACACTAATATGAGCCAGACAGCAATCTGAAGCCTCGCTGCTAAGCAGAGAGGGTTGCCGTGGCAGGTCACACATGAGGGATTTTAATAGCTCTGGTGGTAATCAGGTTACCTTTCATTCATCGAACCTACCACCACCGAACCACACAAAGCTATTCCTAGTGGGGCTTTGACACCACAAGTACTGTTAAACTGAAGTATTTTCCTTTGACAGCTGATGGAAACAATAGCAGGTCAGAACCACATCTGACATTTGCTGATGATTTATGCAGAGCAAATCATCTGCTAATCGGAAGGTTGGTGGTTCAGTCCCTCCAGTCTGGGCAGGATACGAACCCCAAGGTGCTCCATCGGAGTATGACTGTTAGATAGAGAAGTGCTTGCATGAATGAGCACTCAGACAGAGTAGAAAAGCGCTATAGAAGAACCAGTTCATTTCAAATTGGCTCCATTAATGATGTACAGAGCTCAGTAAATGTAATTCACACGTTGCATAGAGACTAAGTGTCTGCACTGGTAACTCAGTTTGAAGAGTGCTACATATATTCCTAAGGGAACTATTTAAATACAGATACTTGTAATAAGTACAAAGAAAACATGGAGCTACTCGTATATTTAGAGGTTAATTGGCAGCATAATTAAATTAAACAGCTTCTTCTGGCTTCCTTTATTCCACTTCTTGTTTTTTTTTTTATATTCAGTTTGAGGTCAGAGATCATTCATAAATGTGATTTTAGCTACCGAACCGAATAAAAGACAGACAGCGAATTAATACATTAAGAGGCTTGATATACTGTCTCAGATTTATCCATACATATTCTGCGAATTGGATTAATTAACCTTAATTAACCTTGCAATATGCAGAATATTGTCAAGTCAGTTCGAGCGGTGGCGTGCACACGAGCGCTGTCTTTGCAGACCTGCTCGTCTCAAAACTGCAAACAATCCACTCAAATGACATTACTGATTAGTTCAGCTCCAAGTGATCTAAATGTAAAATTATCGGGCTCAGTGATTTATGAAGAGGACTATAAGGTCAGTTAATATATGTCATATTGGCCACAGAACAAGTCAATTAAGAGGCTGGCTTTAATTATTTCTTTAAACATAAATCTCTTCTTAACCCAAGAGTACGCTTTAACTAATAGCGATCTGAGAGTCTTAAGCCCTATTAAAAGAGCAATTCCTAATATTTTTCTAAAGATTAATGCCAGATTGGACCTTTAAGTGTCAAATTGGATGTGTCTCCCTCAAGGATGTAAAACCAAAGTCAGCATTCTTGCCTAAAACTAGAGAGACAGAAAAAGAAAACACCTGAATCAATACATGGGGTAAAGTCATTCAGAATAATTTGGCAGAGTGCTACAATTTTAAAGAACAACACCAGTTTCTGCCTGAATAATACACATGCAACATCTAATATAGTGTCTTCTCATTGTTCTTGGCTACAACTGCTAAAGCAAAGTTGCACTGTGGTGTTGGTGGAGAGCAAAAAACAAAAACCAGAGCAGGACTTTGTTTTTGTTTTCCTGTCTGTGCCTCTGGGGCACTTGTACCTGAGCTCAGTGAGGTCGAGGAGCTGAGAAAAAGCATCTTGGGCTTCCTGGTGTACACATGCAGAGAACACTATGGATTACTTCACATTTAAAAACATGCTGTCCAGTAGACTCGGACGGCTGCTGAGAAAGCATAACAAAGTGAGGCTGACGTTCATGCTGCCTCTGCCGTGGCCGCAGGACTCACTCGTAGCGCTTGCTGCCCACCGGCTGCAGCAGGAACTGAGTCATGGTGCTGCAGTTTGTTTTATCAGGGACTGTTTGTGATTGTGTAGAGGGGAGCACAAGTGTGTGACTGTGAAGGACACTGAACTTTAGGAGACAAACTCACTGATGGAGTAAGAGACGCCGGCTACTTGTGAAGGGTAGCGGTGCATGATTTGTCTCTGTCATACCTCTCCTTCTATAATCCACCCAGATTTTTCTCCACCTCTAATAATCACAGTAACAATATGAAGTATTTTTTTTTCAAACGTTCTTAGTTCCTGTTACAACACTCAAAACAACAGCTCAATACATAAATATAATATCATAAAAGCTTAAACTAAAGAAAGAGCTCGGTTAAACCAAAAAACAAACAATCTGACAGGACAGGTGGTATGAAGACTTTCTGCTTTTGTCCTTGCAGCAGCAAAGTTAGCAAGAGCAGTAAGTGGTTCACAGGGTTGTTGGGATCTATTAATTAGCCATATCCTCTGTGTCAGATGATCCTCCGGGCTTTGTTTTTTCTTATTCATGCCACACAAATGTTCCTTCACAGTAACGTGTGGGATTACACCACTTTTTAATGACGACTAGTGCATCCCATGCACATTTCTTCTTGCTCAGATTAACGTCTGTACCCTCCTGAAAATTCCGGCCATCTAGCACACTCAGACTGAGGAACACCGGGAGTTTGGCAACGTCTCTCTGCAACGCTCCATGAGACAGACACATAAGTCACACTGAGCAAGAAAAACAAACTTTATCAGACGATAAAGTCACAAAAGAAGAAACAACAACAACAGGCTGCTACGCATCATGGCGCCAGGAAAAAAAGGCGACATTTACCACTCATTGGAAAATGTTATTTTAATGAAATAACATTATGACGAAGTTTAGAACATAAAAGAATGACTTATTGTTTACTGAACTTGAGATAGAGATATCCATCATACTTCCTTGCCTTCTATTTTGATCGATGTGGTGGTTATATGCATCGTCTGTTATTTCCCTTTCTTACCTGTCAGAAAACTCTCCACTGTCTTTTGTAATTTTGCACCCTGAAGCTTGACAGCGCTGCAAGTCTCAAAGCACTCCTGTTAGTTTATTGTTCCCACATGAAACAGTTTTATTCAACTTCTCAAATCCACTCCACATTTTTTCATCCTGGTCATGCGCTCCTCCGTGAAATAGCTCTATACCCCCCGAGTAGAGCGAGCCCCACAGTTTTAGAACCACCACACTCAGCTGCACTATTATAATGCAGGCAGGGCTTAAACTACCACAGAGCAGTGCAGGAAAGTAATCATTTTGAGGTACTAACTCCAATATAGTCTTACTGAATCTCAAATTGGCAACATTTCAGAGTGCAACATTGTTGTCATTATTATTATGCTTCATTTTGTTCTGGCTACAGATATTAAGAAGGTAGATGCTACACAAAACACAAGCTTGCAACATATCTCAATAAATTAAACTAGTTAAAAATAAAAATTTGT